CATTAGGGGAGCTTCGGTTTCAGGAAAGGTCAATATTCACACAGGTACGAAATGCATTTTCAGTCCATGAAGACCAAAGTAGGTACTGAAATACTTGTAACTCTTTTAGTGATTTTACCCTGAGGTTTTACGTGTACATTTACCATCCTTTTCCATTAACTAAAAGATTACCAATACCAGTGTTATCATTACTATGAATACCACCATTACCATCATATATTCAAACATTATCTCGGACCACAAAACCAAATTTCTCTCTCACCACATTCCTCAGAACCCGTCCGCCTCCTACCTGAGAGTAGCTGTCAGCCAACTTGAAGGCATATCTGACAGGAGTCAACAGGGCATCGAGCAAGTACAAGGCCCAATCCTGAAGTCTCCCGAAGTAAACGTCCAACACAGTGATCCCTTTGTCCACGCTGATCTCTACGCTCTCACGAAGCCACATGAAACGCACACCCCACGCGTCTGTCCACTGTGGGAGGGACGTAGATCTAATATAAATATGATATAAAGCTTTGTTAAATCGTTCAGCGCATTCATAGACAGGGATCATTACGATAAAGGTAAAGAAAGGTGTGAAAGAGAGCGGATATCTCTTGGGGAGACATCTGTTCTCATCTTAAGAACCTATGGAGGAGTATTAAAGACTTACAGCGTATTCAACGTAAACAGGGATCATTAGGATAAAGATAATAAAAAAGTTTGAGTGAGAATTGATATCTCTTGTGCTGGGAAGGTATTCATTCTAATTTATGTCTTTTTCTTGTACAGCATATATCATATATATTGTTTGAACTAAATATTATGTAATGGATTGTACCTTTTTCTCTCTGTCAATCTGTCCGAAAACACATCTATTACACTAGTTATTTCTATGGATTTGTTTTCTTCAAAATCTCTCTCTCCACACACACACAAACACACACTCACACAGAGTGTGTGTATGTGCGTGCGTACGTGAGTGTAAGTGTGTGTATGTGTGTGTGTGTGTGCGTGTGTATATACATATACAGAATATATATAAATATATATATATATATATATATATATATATATATATATATATATATATATATATATATATATACATAGAGAGAGAGAGAGAGAGAGAGAGAGAGAGAGAGAGAGAGAGAGAGAGAGAGAGAGAGAGAGAGAGAGAGAGAGAGAGAGAGCGCTAAAGAGGAAAGAGAAACGTTGGAGAGCTTCTAACGCGAGAGAGAAAGATATTTGCAAACTACAAACGCCCATAAACGAATGCATCTCGCAAGCTTAATCGACTGCATATAATCGGACCCAACGAGAGCGAGCGAGCCAGCCAGCCAGGCAGACAAACAGACAGACAGACTAAGCAGGGATACGGCACGTGCGCTCTTGTGTAAGTGAAAAAGGGATGATTCACAAGCCCTGACTCATTCAAAGAGCTCAGTGTATGCGTGACCGTTCGGAGATTTGGAGATTTTGTGATCTCTCTGGCCTCTGCCGAAGACATTTTGCTTTGCTTTCCTGTTGCATGACTATTAAGAAAAAAATATCGTCGCTTATTAAACGTCTTTGAAAGCTTCAAGACTTTCTCAGATAAGGTTCACATGCGCGAACGTGATCTTCGAGTATATTGGTGTTCCTGTTAATCTTGTCTACGTTACGGAAGCTACCTTACTCACCATTACTAGATTTATGATAATCCTCTAACTGATGTAATTCTGGTGACTTTTTTTTTTTAACTAATCTCTCCAGTGTCGCATTCAATTTCATTTCCGCGATTCCTTAAATTACAGAAAATGCTAATCAACCTATTAATCTTAGTATTTTTAACGAGTCAATGGATCATTTATGTATATGTTTTCTTCTGTATTACGTATCTGCAGTTTTGCGGGAACGTGAATTTGTATTTTCGTAAATGCAGTAACAACAACACTGGCTATTTCCTTCATGGCGAAATTATCGAATTACGTACAATTTCAGTCATATTTACCGTATTTCTGTGATTTGTTTTTGACACGAGAGTTAGGCTACGCAAAGTTTCTTTTTTTTTTTCTTTGTGAGTAGGGTAAGGCTACGCAAAGTTTCACTATTTTTTTCTTTGTGAGTTAGGTAAGGTTACGCAATTTTTTTTTCTTTATGAGTGGGGTAAGGCTACGCAAAGTTTCATTTAATTTTTCCTCTGTCAGTGAGGTTAGGCTACGCAAAGTCTTATATTTTTTTTCCTTTGTGAGTAGGATAAAGCAAAGCAAAATTTCACTTATTTTTTCCTTTGTGAGTGACGTAAGGCTACGAAATATTTCTTTTGTGAGTGGGTATATCATAAATAAAAAAAGCGTCATCCTAGACTTCCATAAATCCAAAAACGGATTCTATTGCCTCCACTCCATGTAAACATCTTTACATGTAACAAAATAAGGAAGATGTGAGCGAAAAGAAGAGGGAAAGATCCCAACGAAACACAAAAGAGATGGAGAAAGGAAAACCAGTGAAGGCGTAGTTTTAGGAAATGAAAAAGATTTTTGCATTATCGTTATTTGATGATTATTATTATCATTATTATTATTATTATTATTATTATTATTATTATTATCATTATAATTGTTATTATCATTATTATTATTATTATTATTATTATTATTATTATTATCATTATTATCATTATAATTGTTATTATCATTATTATTATAATAATTGTTATTATCATTATTATTATCATTATCCTTATAATCATTATTATTAATATTATTATCATTGCCAATATTACTATTATTATTATGATTATTATTGTTGTTATTATTATTATTATTACTATTATTATTGTTATTATTTTTATTATTATTATTATTATTATTATCATTATTATTATTATTAATATTATCCTTATTATTGTTATTATTATTATTATCATTACTATTATTATTACTATTATCATCATTATCATTATTATGCTTGCTAAATAAAACAACCGAGAGAGAGATACAACTTTAAGAACAACTATCAACAAGATGCATCTTGTAATAAAATCCTTAAACAAAAACTATGAACTATTTCGGTAAGTAAAAGACAAACAAAATCCTTTTACTACACCACTTTATTATAATTCATAATGTGTTTTTTTTTTTTTTTTTTTACATAATTACAAAAGCGAACATTAAATCAGATTAGCAATTGGTTTCTGAATTCATTAACTCTTTATATAGAATTAAAAAAGATAAATTAATATATAAAGAAAGAAAGCAGCTTTTTGTTTTATTTAAACATTTTCAGATTTAAAAAAATCGTGCAAAACAACAACAACATAATCTTTGTAAATATCAGCCACACCTGGATTCTTCGCGTGAAAAAAAAAGAGAAAAGAAAGAAATAAAAGAGAGAGAGAGAGAGAGAGAGAGAGAGAGAGAGAGAGAGAGAGAGAGAGAGAGAGAGAGAGAGAGAGAGGGAGAGAGAGAGAGAGTGAGAGAGAGAGAGAGAGAGAGAGAGAGAGGGAGAGGGAGAGGGAGAGGGAGAGGGAGAGGGAGAGAAAGAGAAAGAGAAAGAGAGAGAGAGAGAGAGAGAAAGAAAGAGAGAGAGAGAAAGAAAGAGAGAGAGAGAGAGAGAGAGAGAGAGAGAGAGAGAGAGAGAGAGAGAGAGAGAGAGAGAGAGAGAGAGAGAGAGAGAGAGAGAGAGAGCATGCCAGGATGATCCCGAAAGCTAAATGTAAAAAAGGAATTTTAAAAGATGAGAAGAAAAAGAGGAAGAGGAAGAGAAGGAGAAGGAGGAGAAGGAGGAGAAGGAGGAGAAGGAGGAGGAGGAGGAGGAGGAGGAGGAGGAGGAGGAGGAGGAGGAGGAGGAGGAGGAGGAGGAGGAGGAGGAGGAGAAGGAGAAGGAGAAGTAAGAGGAGGAGGTGGAAGAGGAGGAGGAGGAAGAGGAGGAAGAGGAGGAAGTGGAGAAGGAGGAGGAGGAGGAGGAGGAGGAGGTGGAGGAGGAGGAGGAGGAGGAGGAGGAGGAGGAGGAGGAGGAGGAGGAGGAGGAGGTGTTGGTGGTGGAGGTGGTGGAAGTGATGGTGGAGCAGGAGGAAGAGGAAGAGGAAAAGGAAAAGGAAGAGGAAGATAGAGGAGGAGGAGAAGCAAAGAAAGAAGAGAGAGAGAGAGAGAGAGAGAGAGAGAGAGAGAGAGAGAGAGAGAGAGAGAGAGAGAGAGACAGAGAGACAGAGACAGAGAGAGAAAGAGAGAAAGAGAGAAAGAGAGAAAGAGAGAGAGAGAGAGAGAGAGAGAGAGAGAGAGAGAGAGAGAGAGAGAGAGAGAGAGAGAGAGAGAGAGAGAGAGGGAGCTAAAGAGAGAGAGAGCTAAAGAGAGAGAAAGAAAGAGATAGATAGAAAGAGAGAGAGAAAAAGAGAGAAAAAAAACGAATCCGTTTCACCACGCCCTCACACGAAGCAAAAAAAAAAAAAAAGAAATCGAATCGAAACGAAACGAAACGAAACGAAATCACTCCCACACAGAACTCAGGACCACACGGAGGGCAACGTGCACGCCCCAAGCTTGCCACTAACCCACTCCAGCCTCTGTTGCAGGAAATCCAGAATCCTGAAGGTGAAGGAATCCCCCGTCGCCAGCAGGTCCAGCAGGAGGGCAGGCCACGGCAGGTTGTGCAGGAAAGTCCACCACCACACGAAGACCATCTGGGGCGAAAGGGGACTTCGAAATCTTGCAGCGTGGTGAGGATGGTGGTGATGGTGATAATAATAACGATTGATGATGGTGATAATGGTTGTGATGATAGGAATGGTGGTGGTGGTGATGATGGTGATGGTGACAATAATAACGATTGGTGGTGGTGATGGTGATGGTGATAATGACTGTGATGGTAGGAATGGTGGTGGTGGTGATGGTGACAATAATAACGATTGGTGGTGGTGATGGTGATGGTGATAATGACTGTGATGGTAGGAATGGTGGTGGTGGTGATGGTGACAATAATAACGATTGGTGGTGGTGATGGTGATGGTGATAATGACTGTGATGGTAGGAATGGTG